CCCCACACCCTTAAACCCTTAAAGCCAGAACTTTCGCTGCTCTGCGGAGCTCTCCCATGCCCAGCTTGAGGGACTTGGCCCGGCTCTCTTACGGCTTAGGGTTTAGGGTGTTTAGGGTTTAGGGTTTAGGGTTTAGGGTTTAGGGTCCCGGCTCTCTTCATGTCGTTTTTTACTTCGAAGTTGCGACGTTTTTTTGGGGAAATGGTGCCCTCTTTAAGGCTATCTTACACTGCGGTTGACGACATAAATCCTGCATTACCCACACTAAGGAATGAATATATGTATGTATGTATGTATATATATATATATATTTACTTGTCCTTAAGGTAATGCAGGATTTATATCATCAACAGTAGTGCCCTCTTTTTTAGTTCCTACACGTGTATTTTCTTTTGTGGCCTCTATGCTATTATGCTATAGCCTTAAAACCGGACACAGGCGTCACAAATCTACAAAGGCCCATTACAATTCCGAATTCTCCCAAAGCAGCTCAAGGTTACTGCAAGAGGGTTTAGGGTTTAGGGTGCTTGAAGCCAAGGCTGTGTTGCGGCTCCTTATTGTAATTGTAGTATAGCATGCCCCCAAACCCTATTCTAAAAAAATCAAGATCCCTAATAACAACACCCCTCCAATACTATCCGTTATATGGAACCCTTTAATTAAAGGAATTCCTAAGCACCAAAATATACCCTAAACCCTAAGCCCCCTAAACCCTGAACCCTAAAACCCTCAACCCTCAACCCTAAACCCTATCTAAGGACACAGGCACTGCAGAATTCCCTGCGCTACTTGGCACCTGCTCACGCGAACAGCCCGTTGGAAGTCGCGAGTCCTGCCAAGGAGGACAGGAGGTTTCTTACGGTGTTTACGGCTTTCAGGTTTAGGGTATTAGCGTGCGTAAGGCCTTCCGCGTTTAGGATGTAGGGTTTAGGGTTTTAGTGTGTCGCGGGCTTTCCGGGTTCACGGTCTAAGCTTTTAGTGTGTCGAGGGCTTTCCGGGTTTAGGATCTAGGCTTTTAGCGCGTTTAGGGCTTTCCGGGTTTAGGGTTTAGGGTTTTTAGTGTGTTTAGGGCTCTCCGGGCTTAGGGTTTGGGGTTTAGGGTTTTAGTGTGTTTAGAGCTTTCCGGGCTTCGAGTTTAGGCTTCGTTTCGTCGTTCAAGGTTGTATAACGGTTGTTGTGCAGTTTGATAAAGCTGTTCTGGGTTTTATTCCGTGTGTTGCCTCAGGGGTCGTTTTCCTAGGTCCCATACGCCAGCCAGAAAGACTTACTCTAAATCCGAACCCTAGACCCTAAACCCTAAACCCTAAAGACCTACCCTAAACCCGAACCCCTCAAACAGCACCACGCAGGACTTCGCCAAAGCTCTGGCGGCAAAACTTCTGTCGCTGGGAGAGCAGGTGCTGCGACAAGATGCTGAACTGAGGCCTTTCTGTGCCGAATTAGCAAACTTTACAGGCTTGCAGGGTTTGGGGTTTAGGGTTTAGGGTTTAGGGTTTAGGGAGGGTTTAGGGTTCGGGGTTCAAGGGTTTAGGGGTCCAAACTGAAAGCTGAAGCTGAACTTAGGGAGCTGCGCCGATCTGCCACTTCGGTGCCCCCGGAAGTTCACGTGCTGCGGGAGGAGAACGCCATGCTTGCAGTTGCTTCCATGCATTTTCATCCTATTCGCTCCGGTACTAGTATCAGGCTCTGTTGTGAGGCCAGAACGTCGCGGCATATCGTGGCGTGTCGGACAAAAGGTTCAGCCAGGATAACTTTAAGATCCATCAACGGCCAGAGAACAGCCTCAACTCTATAAATCCTAAGCTCCTTTCCCCTAAGCCTTGAATCCTGACTCTGAAACGAAAAACAAGCCCAAGCTGCAACGCATCACCCAAGGCTCGTAACCAGCAGGCCTTTGAGGAGGCAGCGGAGCTCTCGGCAAGGCATGGGGCCCTCGAGTGCGACCCCTGGCTTCATTCTGTAGCTTTTAGTTTAGGATTTAGGGTCTTTTGTTAAAGAGAAACTGTGACCCCAAACTCTGCAAAATAGTGGGTTATGGCCCCTTAGTTAGAGGGTGGAACCCTTAAAAACGGTGGGTTTTGGATCCCCAGGAAACTAATTTTGTAGTGCATGCGAACAGATGTTTCAGTCACGGGTTTGGGAACGCCGAAGTTCGTTGGTGTTGTTGGGACTGTGGCTTTTGGAAGAAAGTTTCTGAAGGGTTGTTAAACATGGGATCTTACGGTTTTAGGCTCGGAGGTTTGGATTCCGGGGAACTCGTTTTTGGGATCATTAATACAGGGGCCTAAACAACTGCCTATACTATTTCAGGGGTTCCTTACTATTATTACAGTATAACATGCCCCAAGACCCTATTCTAATTATTGAGGCCCCTACATTGGGTCAGGGTTGAGGCTTTGGGCCGCTGCTGCCAACAACCCTGCTACATGTCAGGAGAGGGAGGCCGCGCAACGGGAGGTTCAGGCTGCGGAGGAGCTGGGGCGGCCGCCGAAGCACTTCGGTGTGGCCGTGTAGAGCTTGTAGGGTTTCAACCTTAAACGAAAGCGTGAAGACTCAACCTGTTAAGCTATAAACCCTAAACGGTTCAGGGACTGTTAGGGGTTCCCTTCGGAGCTGCGGGGACCTTTACACGACAAACCACAAATCTCCGGAAGGTAGAATTACCCTGAGTCCCAAAGCATCAGACATGGTTCAGTTGTTTTGATGAGTTCTGCTAGCACATTAAACCCTAAACTCAACCCTAAACCCGAAACCCTCTGAGCTGTCTATGTGCCGACATGGTATTTTCTACTGCTCGGAGATCTTCCAAAACCCAACCCCCATATCACGTTTTGTTGTTTCAGGATTTCTTTAGGCCTAAACCCTAAACCCCTAAACCCTTTAACCCCTAAATCCTAAATCCCTAAACCCTAAACCCTAAACTCCAAAACCCTAAACCTTTTTAGGAATTAAGGTTCAGGCTTTAGGGTTTGGTGTTCAGGGTTTGCTTAAGGTTTAAGGCTCAGGGTTTAGGACTTAGGAGGATATAAGGTTCCGTGTTTAGGGTTTAGGGTTTATGGCAGGGTTTAGGGTTAGGGCAGGGCTCGGCGTCTTGGGCTCTTTAAGGGCCGGGTCGAATTCTGTGTTGTCAGCGGCAGGAGGACATGGATGCGCTGACAAACAAGGTGAGTGCAGCAAGGACAGGCTGGAAAAAACCATGCCTAAAGCTTGTCAATGCATTCCGCAAAGGATCACGGGACTTAGCAAGTAGCACATACGTAAGGCAGTTAAAGTTTTATCTACTCTTGAACCCGATTCTCAGGCTCTTGCAACCCCACTTACTCAGTAGTGTTGAGTGTAAGCAATATCGAGGTGGGGATGATCAGTCATGCTTCCACCCCTGATGTAGTCATACTAGAACGTTCCCCAAAGCCCTATCGTTGTTTCGAAATCCATTGTTATACCGTTATAGTAACCTGCAGCTGCCAGAACCGAAGAGGGAGCTCGCACTCCAAAAATGAATCTGCAGACGCTCTGCTGTCGCGCACCAGATCTCTGCTACGTTTGCTATGCATCTGAATTCCCAAGACCCACCCGAAACCCTACGTCCTGAAACCCTGGAGTTCCAACCCCCCCAAACCCTGACGGCAAACCTAAAGGTTTTGAGCGCGGTTAATCCGCAGCCGTCAGAACCGTTTCAAGGTTTAGCATGTCGGATGTTTAGGGTTTAATGTCTTGGAGAAGCTTTAAAGCCGAAGAGCCTGGCCTATGTAACTCCAACTAAAGTCCTTAATGCCATAAGAGGATGAACCTTTGAGCTCCAGCATGTAATCTTGAAGTTTGGGTTTAAGGTTTAAGGTTTAGGGCTTAGGGTTATCTAGGGTGTAGGGTTTAGATCCTGCGAATGAATCAGGGTTTAGGGCCAGGGGCATGCCAGAATCCTTCGAATTAGTTCTTGTAGGCGAAAAAAGATTGAAGGATCCAGTCACCTAATTCCCGTTTGACCCTAAACCTTAAATCCTAAACCCCAGACCCTAAACCCTTCCAGTCCCTAAACCCGAAGCCCTTCAACCCCTAAACCCTAAACTCTAAACCCTTAAACCGTAAACCCTAAACCCTTCAACCCTTCAACCCCCAACCCTAAACCCCTAAACCCCTAAATCCTAAACTTTCAATCCCCTAAACTTTTAAACCCGAAACCCCCTCAAGCCCCTTAAACCCCCCTTAAACCCCCTTAAACCCTTAAGCCCCTAACCCTAAACCCCTAAACCCCTAAACCCTAAACCCTAAACCCTAACCCCTGAAGCCCTAAACCCTACCCTAAACCCCTTCGCCCTAGACCCCTAAGCCCCTAAACCTTTAGACCCTAAACCCCAAATGAAACCAAAGCAGGCAGAGGAGCCCCTAAAACTTTTAATCCCTAAACCGCCCTAAACCCTAAACCTTTCAACCCCTTTAAACCCCCTTAAACCCCCTTAAACTCCCTTTAAAACCCTTAAACCCCGTTAAAACCCCCTTAAACCCCTTAAAAAGCAGACAAGCATAGAGGCGGAAAAGCATTGAAGCAGAAAAGCTGAAAAGCAGAAAAGCAAAAGCACAAACAAGGATAAAACGACAAGCAAACAAACGCAGGAGGAAGAACGGGAAAAACAACCCTTAAAACCCCCTTAAACCTCCTTCAACCCCCTTTAAAACCCCCTTAAACCCTAAACCCCTCAACTCCCCAATTAAACCAAAAGCGGGCAGAGGAGCTCCGAGGCCGAGGCCTCTGGAGAGCAGGAGTCCGCCTCGCGAGCCCTGGATTTGGAGAGGCGCGGGGACGTCGCTTTGGGGTTCAGGGGGGGTTTAGACAGGGGTTTAGGGTAAGAAAGGGGTGTTTCGAGGGGTTTAGGGTTTGGGGGTTTAGGGTTTGCGGGTGTATATAGGGGTTTAGGGTTTAGGGTTTGTGGGTGTTTGTAGGGGTTTGGGGGTTTGGGGTTTTGGGTTTAGGGTTTGGGGGTTTAGGGTTTAGGGTTTGGGGGTTTAGGGTTTTAGGGTTTGGGGGTGTGGGGCATTTTGGGGCAGAGGGTGTTTATACATGGGTTTAAGGTTTTAGGGGTTTGTTTTTTTTTTGGGGGGGTTTAGGGTTTGGGGGTTTGGGGTTTAGGGTTTGGGGGTTTAGGGTTTAGGGGTTTGGTTGGGGGTTAAGGGTTAAGGGGTTTGGGGGTTTAGGGTTTAGGGTTTGGGGGTTTAGGGTTTCGGGGTTTAGGGTTTAGGGTTTGGGGTTTACGGTTTAGGGGTGGGGGGTTTAGGGTGTAGGGGTTTAGGGGTTTAGGGGTTTAGGGGTCTAGGGCGAAGTGGTTTAGGGTTTAGGGGTTTGGGCTTGGGGTTTTGGGGTTTGGAGGTTTAGGGTTGAAGGGTTTAGGGTGTAGGGTTTGGGGTTTAGAGTCTAGTGGTTGAGGGTTTAGGATTTGGGGGTTTAGGGTTTAAGGGTTTAAAGGTTTAGGGTGTAGGGGTTCAGGGGTCTAGGTGTTGTTGAGGACAGCATTGTATGTAAGATTATTTATGATGCCTAGGTCCTAGGTGCCACCGTAACGACTATAATTCCAGCCTCGACCAGTGCCATGCCTACCAGCTTCCGATGTTGAAGCCAAGCTGGTTGTCCAGCTCCGAGATCGGTTGTCTCATCACCCGGGATGGACTGCTGATCAGCTCTGCAAAATGATAGAATCCGTCACGTCGTCTACCTTGTCCGGGAGCAGCCAAGATCTGAGATCTGGCAGTCTTCCTGGGACGTGTCCGCTCGGATGATGTCCGTGCTGCTGCTGCCGAACCGGCTAAAGCAGTGCATCCACGGCGCTGCTAGCATACGAACCCATCTCCGACTGATGCCGCTCCGGTGCTTCTCCGCCAGAGGCCAAACGCATGACAAATGTTGCCGTAGCGGTTTAGGACTTAAGCTTTAGGGGTTCAGGGTTTAGGGTTTCGGGGTTCGGGGTTTAGGGTTCAGGGTTTGGGGCTTACCGTTTAGGGGTGGGGGGTTTAGGGTTTGGGTGTTTGGGGGTTTAAAAGTTTAGGGTGTAGGGGTTTAGGGGTTTCGGGCGAAGGGGTTTAGGGAGGGTTTAGGGCTTTATTGTTTAGGGTTTAGGGGTTAGGGGTTTAGAAGCTTGGGGGTTTGGGGTTTCAGGGGTTTGGGGTTCAGCAGCTCCGGGTCGTAGCAGTAACTGGGCGAGCTGGCGGTTTTAGATTCAGAAAGAAGCCCACTCCCCGCAAAGAATCCATTAACACTAAGAGAAAATATCCATCATCTTCCCTAAGCCCCCGGCCGCAAACCCTAAACCCTAAACCCTAACCCTAAACCCTAAACCCTAACCCTAAACCCTAAACCCTATACCCCCAAACCCTAAACCCTAACTACCCCAAAACCCTGTAAGCCCCAAAAAGCCTAAGCCCAAAGCCCTAAAGCCGACACCCCTAAGGCCGAAGCCCTACCCAGAGACTCCAAAACCCCTTAATTTGGGAATATACCTCAAACTATAATAGGAA